GTAAAAATTCTTTCCGAAGAAACTTTAGCGATACAAGTCCTTTCTTAAATAAAACTACTTTATTCTTTCTCAATACAACTTTGCAATACACTTAATTTCCACAGTCATGCTATAACTTAAACAAACGCTATAATTTACAACGAACGAACAATTCACGAGCTTGATTCAATTGTCGTCTTTATCTCTGTCTGCAATTCAATTAAATTGTTGCCGTCACTTCTTGGCGGTCTTATATACAAGAATACCGCACATCTAGTAAACACTCGAGGCTTCACGAAGTGACATGAATTTTCTAGAAGCTCATGACGTGTTACTGGGGTCACGTGACTTCTGCTGTCGTAACATTATTTTCTTGCTATTCTTAAAAAGTGCCCTTTGCACGCTATTGTTATCCGTCTTCTTAAATGTAATGTCACATATACTTAAACAACTATATAGATCTTTATAGTTTTAGGGATAAGATTTTCAAGTACAGCATATATAAGCATGTAAAATCCTCTCTGACCACTTTTGTTAATGTACTGATTTTTTGCATAATGATCTTTTTTGTACAGTATTAATTTCGTAACCAGTTTCCCTGCTGGAAAACATTGACGATTTTTAATTGTGTACTTTTATGCGTTTCAGTTATGTAGTTTATTTACTTTGTGTATTTTACATTAGAAATAGATATAAATATACAAACATGTAACTTAAAAAACCCAAGGGTATAAAAGTCGTGTGAAATGACGTTTAAGATATTAAGGCGATAAACAAAAACGAAGTACAATAACGTTTGGAATTTTTCGTTTTATCTACTGGTAAATAAGTGTTTCACATTTTTTTATCTCTACAGAATTTTTAACTCTTAAAATGTTTGTGTTCTTGCGTGATCTGAAACTAAAAATTGATTGTCTGCCTTCCTAGTGCTATTTTTGGTTTCACCACCGACTATATCTAAATATTGGCAAAGCGCCAATAAAATGTGTACTCTAGCAAAATCCCAAAATTTTGTTTCGGTATCTTCAGTTTGTCAATCTCAATCAATTAATGACGATCCCCGAATTAGAATTAAGTTATAACTTACTCTTACAGATAAAAAAAATAAAAAATCTGTGACTGAAAAATACGATGTGCTTGTTTTTGCAGTACAAGATTTATGATTATAAAAGATAACGTTGGTTAAGACAATAAAACAGCATTTTGCACAAATATTTTACCCAAATATTTCTGTTCTTATACACATAACCGATTGAAATATCCCATAAAAGGATATAATGTTTAAGATTATTATTATTATTTTTTTTTTTTTTACATTGATTACTTATTTTGTTACACGAAATGGTTGTTTCTTACTTTCGCACAAAGCTACACGAGAGCTAACTGCACTAACCGTCTCTATTTTTGCAGTAAGTGACCAAAAGAAAAGCAGCTTGTTAAGACGTCCCACCACTAAATCTTGGGCTACTCTCGTCAGACAAAATAGTGGGATTTAACCGTTCGTCTTATAACGCACTCGCGGCCCCAAAGTGCGTAGCGCGATTTTAATTATTTTATTGTTTGTTTTTCAATAATAGGGCACGGAACCTCAGTTCCACAGTCTGGCTAATCACTAGGCTCTCGAGAGTGATATTATTCAGGTCGAATATAAAAACGCAATGCTAGAAACACCCGAACAGCCAGATTAACATTAGTTTTGTACACAACCACTTTTCAACGGAGAATACCACCCACCTAGAATTCCAGAAAGATTCTAAACTTACACACTTCTTTAAAACTTAAGCACCAAAAAGACATTTTTTGACAATATTCTTTGTTAACCAAATCAAAGAAATCATTAACATTAACAAATCCAAGAACAATATTATGTTTCCAACAACGGTTCTGCTTAAACCAACCAACACACATTAGAAAGCGGGATATATTGATCAGAATCTGACATGAACTAGTAGTTTATGTTAACTCATCCAATATTTAAGGGTTTGAACGCGTTAATTAACAAAGAGGCGGGCGCAAGGCTGAAAGAAATATTGTTAATATGTATCATTATGGGAAATGTCTTGTGATTTTAGTTAAAATTGTTGTTTAAATCCTCATAAAGTATCAATAATTTGAGAACAGTGTGAGTGATCGTGTTGAAACTTTGCCAGGTGACATCTAAGAAGACTACATCTTTAAGGTTGTAAGTAGTCCTTGCTATTTCATAAGTGAAATTACACGAGTGTCAAACGTTCGAGAGTAGGGACTTTGGAAAAATAATTACTAAATTGTTCACTCACTTCAATAGGCTTGCACCTGTAGCTTTTAAGACGAATCGGATAGGTAGGTGAGAGAAGTGTATCAAAAATGTTTTACTGCGTTACAAAATAAACATCCATGCTGAAATAAGAACTATAATTTCAAATTCTAGTATCAGTTTTACATATGACTCTTTAGGTTGTCCTAACATCAAGTAGTTTCACTTCGCTTACATATACTGTATAATATCAATTCATAAGAACGTAAAACAGAATAAATTTCACATACCTGCTCAATTCTTAATATGCATTATTGTGTAACAAGTTTCATTAGTTTTTAAAATACTCACACAAAGCTACACAAAGGGTTACCTGTTCAGTCCATAAAGCCAGGATTATTTTTCTTTGTTTTACAATTCCGCTAAATCAAAATTTTGATTTCTGAAAGTTCATATGTATTATTTCATTTTAACCTCTATTTTTTTTATTTCAGACGCGGGATGTCATGTTTCTCGAGAGAAAAAAAATCCGACTTCCCCTTTTTTCCGAGGCGGCATTTTGCTCGTGAGAAAAAAAATCGAAAGTAGTACGGTAAAATGATCGAACATTGCGGCAACACACATACCGTAATACTTCGTGGCGGCAACACACATACCGTAATACTTCGTGGCGGCAACACACATACCGTAATACTTCGTGGCGGCAACACACATACCGTAATACTTCGAGAAATTTGTGCTATTTTTATGTACAAACGCGCGCCAAAATGTCGGGCGCATATTTTTGCAATGTTATTTCGCAAAATCATTTAAAAATTATGGTATTTTTCACTGCGCGGAGCAGATGAAACAGTAGTGCTTGATAACTTGCTCAAGCTTTGGAAAAAATTCAAAAGAACAAGCTGGAGTAATGTCGCCGATTTTGATATTTTAAACATTTCATCATAATCATACTCATAATTCAGGTTATACGTGCATAATTTTTTGTTTGTTTTTTAAATGCAAAGTTACTCAATGGGCTAACTGTGCTGTGCCTACCATGGTTATCAAAACCCAATTTTTAGCACTAAAAGCCTTTATATTTACTATTAAGCTACTGGGGGGGGGGGGCATACGTATAATTAAAAACAAAATATAGTTTTCATTTTAGGATAATTTGAATGCTGTCTCAATAATAAGACTCTCACAAACTATTTTAACTTAACATGTCAGACAAGCTTGTATTGCTTTTAATATCATGTTAATAAAGTTTATAAAAATAAAATCAAAGAAAAGTAGTCTTAAATTTAATGTATTTATTAGGACATTTACTGTATAATTTTGTTATTCAGCAGTGAATATCGTACTTAATTTATTTAGAAGAAAATAAGTGAAAAAATACAAAGTCATGTAGCAACAAAACCATCCTATATTTGCCAGTGTAATTATTATTTATCTAGGATTTTGAACCTTACATGTTACTCTATAGGGTATGTTTTTGTTTTTAGACTGTTGTAATGAGTACAGAAATCTTACTAGGATTAATTTTATAAGCAGGAGAAAATAAAAAAAATGTATACAATTTGTAAGAAAAGCACAGTACTCAAACGCATCAGTAGAATTACCGATCAAAATAACTATACATACACAGTTGTAGAATCTTGGAAGTATGAGGGGGTGGGGGTGGAATAAATACTATATATCATAAAAATTACAATAATATATGGGTGTTGTATTCTTAATAATTAAATACAAAATCTTACGTAAGGTCTACTGTTGTTTACTTTTATTCACAAGGTTTAATATATAAATATAATTCACAAAATTAAATACAAATAAGAAAATGGCTAGTATACATTAAAAAATAAGGAAGACAAACACAATGAGTCCTGCATGTTTGAAAAAAAAAAGTGAATTGCAATAAAAGAAACAAACTGTAATGGTATAAATCAAGTGTTGCTTACATTATTCAGATATATTAAAAACCATATTGCAGTATGCAGAAACATCAATAATTTTTTTAAAATTATTCAGCGTTTTCTTATGACATTCAGTGTCAACTTTCCATTAGTTCAGTAGTTTGAAGGGTGTTCTTAAACATGACTACAATGGTCTACGATGTTTCAACAAACGTTATCATTTTCATGGTTCATTCTAATAGGTGAAATATTCAACAGATCATTGATTGAGTTTTTCTATAACATTAAATACAGTTTTATTTCAACAAACTACCTTAATACAAAATATAAAGTTTTAGATTATATTGTATCTGAATTAAATAAGATCAATTATTTTAGCAATTTCAATATTTAAATGCTAATGTGTTTACTTTCTATATCTACCCATGGATCAGATAAAGAAAACTTTATTTACATGTGAGATTATAGAACTGAAATAGAACAAAGTCTATGATATAATGATTCCTTATTAACATATACTACATTGCACATTGGCATTCAGCTAAATATACTATTATCTCCAAAATAATTGTGATAAATTTACACATCTTAACATTTCTTTTGAGGGCTGATAAAGCTTTATATGAGCATATTAGTGATGCCAAAAACTTAAAAGGAAATATTATACTCAATTTAAGCTTTTGTTTTTCTTCATAAACAAAGCTTGGGACCACACCATTGCTCATTTCATAGTTCCAACATTATTTGTCATCTTTGTAGCAACCAATTCAACAGACTTAGAACTGTAGCTTAATGGACACATTATTAGCATCTATTGGCATTACCTCAAAAAAACCACTAAATGAATCCTAATGAATAACCATAAAATTAGAATTAATAACTTTTAATTAATTTCTTTTTTATTTATTGAGAAAATAACAGACATACAATTTAACCATAATTTACAGAAGACATCCAAATATTAACATAATTTGAATGTGAGCCTAGTGAAAGACGCGACTTCATTTACCATTGAATGTGTAATACAGTATCAAACATTAAAAACATTCTAATAATTATACAATTCATGAAACTTGAATTATGAAAAGGATGTGTGAAAGTAAAATAAAGAGCAAAGTAGTTGGCTGGATGATGTTGGTCATGTATTGCCTTATAAATAGTTTATGATTTTGCTTCACAGTTAGGACTAGGCCAGCAATGTTTGATTATGATTAATAAACACTCATTTGAAAAAATTCCTTATCATAAAATATTTTGGCACTATTTTAGAGACCAAAGAACTAAGTTGTAACTGGCAAATAACTACTGCCTTTTTTTTTTTTCAACAATGGATAATGTTTTCATTAGTGAGAAGCTATCTACAGATATAAAGTAAACACAATAAAGATTTCTGAGAATTTATAATTAAAGACAAATGTTTAAAGTGCATAAGAGAGACTGGGAAGACAAATATTTTGAAACTATCAAATTTCAGTCTTTTCTGGTTAATAAAAAAACAAATTGGCTTCATATTATCTCATTAAATGTCTTTCTTTCCACAAAACAAAATACATTACATAGGACATGAAATTTAAAATGAACACTTGTTGAACCTATTCTTGCACATTTCTTTGATTTTAGAATAAACAGAATTAATTATATATTAAAATAACAAAATTTAAGTCCGTAGAAGCATGGAAACATACACATTATCAATGACAAATATAATTCAATACATATTCGATGACGAGGAACCCACTTGGAGACTAACGATGGTTGGAGACGGCTTGAATGGGTTATGAAGAAAAACTTTAATATAAGTTTAACACAACAGCAAGTGTACAATGTTTCGACAAGGTTTTGTCATCATCAGGTACAAGTAATTTACACTGACACGGATATATAT